CTGCCGCGTCCATCTTGGCCTTGTCAATGCGCTCGAGGGCACCGTCACCATCATCTTGGTGGCGAAGGACCCAGTAGAGCTTCAGGTTCTGCATGCCCTCCGCACCGGACGTCACGACGCCGAGTCGGTTCAGGTTATTTTTTGCCTTTTTTTTTCTCGCCGGGCGCAAACTCGTAGGCCGCAACCTTCTGGGCGAACGCGGCGCCCTCCATGACGAGCGGGCCCCAGAAGCCAAGGCCTGCCAGGCGCAGGGCATGGGAAACCAGTGGAGCTCCGGACACAGGGCCAAACTGCTGCAGGATATCATCAACCAATGAGGTTTTCGCGGCATGGAGGACCAACCCTGGACGCTACAGTCGCGTCACTAATCATCAGCGACACGCCGCTGAACGCGTCACGAAAAACGTCACTAAAGGTCATTAAAACGTCACGAAAACGTCACTAAAGGTCACTAGACGTCACTAACCGCAACTAAAACGTCACTAAAACGTCACTAACGCGTCACTAAAACGTCACTAAAGGTCACTAAAACGTCACTGAGCTTCACTAAAACCTCACGAACGCGTCACTAAAACGTCACTAAAGGTCACTAAAACGTCACTAAGCGTCACTAAAACGTCACTAACTGTCACTAAAACGTCACTAAAACGCAACTAAACGTCACTAGCGCGTCACTAAAACGTCACTAAAGGTCACTAAAACGTCACTGAACGTCACTAAAACGTCACTCAACGTCACTAAAACGTCACCCAACAGGTTCCGGAAGGGCGACCACCAAAAAGCACTGAAGGGCAATAAAGAAGCACTAAGGGGGACGAAAACAGCACTAAAACGATGAAATTCGTCACTAACCGGCTGATACACAGATTTTGGCTGTTTTTTTGTGCTTTCTAGCGCCTCCTTCGTGCACGATAGTGCCTCGCGGTGCCTCTGGGCGGGCGCCGTTTTCCCCCCCTCCCCTCGGCGGCGCGCCAACGGGGGCAGGGGAAGGGAGAGGTTTTTTTCCGGCAGGGTGCTCCCCACAAGCCCACGGAGGGAAACCCTACCAGGGCTTCTGAGAGAAAAAAAAAAAAAACGTCGGCGCGCCGCCGGCCCCCTCCCCTCCGCCCCCGCACGTGGCCTCACGCCGCGAGCGCCCCAGGCGCCAGCGCCCAGATATCGGCGTCGGATTTGGCGCGCCCGGTGCTCCCTGCAGGCCCCCCGAGCCCAACCGCGAAGCGGCGCGCGGCTGCCTCCTCGCGAACCCACCAGGCCCGCCGGGCAGCCTTCCGGTCTTTCCAGCCGCGGCGCGCCGACCTCACAGGAGGCGAGCGACGATGACGAGGGGGGTGGCGGAGGAGGAAACGCATGACCTCTCGAGCACCCAAGCCCGCAGAACGGCGTACGCCCGCGAGAGCCCCGCAGCGCCTCCCCCATAGTGGTGAGGCCGTACTCTCTTGCCTGGCTTGACGGGGGGAAGGAGAGTGGGGAGGGGAGGGGAGAGGGAGGGAGAGAGGGAGGGAGGGGAGGGAGGGAGGGGAGGGAGGGAGGGAGGGAGGGAGCGGTGCCGCGGGCTACTGGCGGCCTCGGCGCTCCCCCCTCAGGGGGACGAGGGGGAGTCCCCCGAGGCCTGCCCTCGCACTGCCGCCGTGCGGCTGCGCTTCTCGCCCCCTGCGAGTTGGCCGCCCGTCGCGCGGTGCGGCGGGCCCCCCTGGCGGCCTCGGCGCCCCCCCCTCAGGGGGGCGAGGGGGAGTCCCCCGAGGCCTGCCCTCGCGCTGCCGGGGGAGGCAGAGGAGAGGGAGAGGGGGGGGAGGAGGAGGAGGAGGAGGGGGAGGAGGAGGAGGAGGAGGAGGACGACGAGGAGGCCGCTTTTTTGGTTGAGGCCGTTTTTGTTCGTTGAGGCCGCTTTTTGGTTGAGGCCGCTTTTTTCGTTGAGGCCGTTTTTTCGGTTGAGGCAGTTTTTTTCGTTGAGGCTGTTTTTTTCCGGTTGGGCGGTGAGGAAGAGGAGGACGAGGAGGACGAGGAGGTGGAAGACGAGGAGGAGGAGGAAGGAGGAGGAGAAGGGAGGAGAAGGAGGAGGAGGAGGAAGGAGGAGGGAGGAGGAGGGGGAGGGGGAGGAGGGTCGAAGGGAGGGTAGGAGGGAAGGGAGGGTGGAGGGAGGGAAGGGAACGAGGAGGCAGCGAGGGGCTGGAGGGACGGGAAGGGGGTGGGAAAGGAAGGATGCGAAGCTGGTCTGACCGTGCTGGTCTTCCGCGCTGGTCTTGTGCCGCGCTTGAAACGGGGGGGAAAAGGAGGGGTGGGGAGGGGTAGAAGGGGAGAGGGAGGGGGAGAGTGAGGGGGGGGTGGGGGGAGGGGGGGGCGGGAGGTAGGGAGGGAGGGAGCGTGCGCGAACTAGGGGCGGGCTACTGGCCGGGCCGCTCGGTAATCCAAACCCCCCGACACCACACCCCCAGTCCGGACTCCCGCTTTATCTCGCGAATGCTCGGGTCGGCGGCGGTGGCGGGCGGATCACCTCGGGGCGTGGGGGGTGAGCACTACGGGCGGAAGTCGGGACCTCCTCGGCGCTCCCCCCACCAGGGGGGCGAGGGGGAGTCCCCCGAGGCTTGCCCTCGCACTGCCGCCGTGCGGCTGCGCTTCTCGCTCCCTGCGAGTTGGCCGCCCGTCGCGCGGTGCGGCGGGCTCCCCTGGCGGCCTCGGCTGTTCGGCGCCCCCCCCTCAGGGAGGGGGCGATGGGGGGTTCCCAACACGATGCCTTGTCCCTCGCGCTCTGCCGGGGGAGGCAGAGGGGAGGGGGAGGGGGGGGGAGGAAGGAGGAGGAGGAAGGAGGTGGGAGGAGGAGGAGGAGGAGGACGACGAGGAGGCGTTTTTTTTGGTTGAGGCCGTTTTTTTTGGTTGAGGCCGTTTTTTTCGTTGAGGCCGTTTTTTTGGTTGATGCCGTTTTTTTCGTTGACGCCTTTTTTCTGTTGAGGCCGTTTTTTTCTTTGAGGCTGTTTTTTTTTCCGGTTGGGCGGCGAGCAAGAGGAGGACGAGGAGCACGAGGAGGAGGAAGACGAGGACGAGGGGGAGGAGGAGGAGGAGGAGGAGGAGGAGGGGGAGGAGTAGAAGGAGGAGGAGGAGGAGGAGGAGGAGGAGGAGGAGGAGCAGGAGGAGGGGGGAGGGGAGAGGGAGGGAGGGGAGAGGGAGGGGAGGGAAAGAGGAGGCAGCTGGAGGGACGGGAGGGGGTGGGAAAGGAAGGAGGCGAGCTGGTCTACCGTGCTGGTCTTCCGTGTTGGTCTGCCGCGCTGGTCTGCCGCGCTGGTCCGCCGCGCTGGTCTACCGCGCTGGTCTGCAGCGCTGGTCTGCCGCGCTGGTCTGCCGTGCTGGTCTGCCGCGCTGGTCTGCCGTTATGGTCTGCTGCGCTGGTCCGCCGCGCCCCCTTCTGAGCCGTTCAGCAGAAGAGCTCCAGGAAGGAGCCGCTGCGAGACATTTCGGGCGCTGGACCGCAGCCAGGACACTGTACTCCTTCTTCGTCATCTCGGTCTCCTTCCGCCACTGGGGCAGAATCGTCATCGCGACGTCGGGGAACGCAGGGTTGTTTGTGCACGTGAAGTACAAGTTGCTATGCTCGATGACGGTGTTTGTTCCAGGGGCCAGTCGAGCAGCAGGGGCGTCTTCGGCCTCCTCCTCCTCCTCGCCCCCGCCCTCTTCGCCCTGCGCTTCGTCGCCGGGGGCGGCAGGCGCAGGTTTGTGCGCCGGCGGCTCCACGTCGGCAGGGGGCTCCAGGGCCTCGGCGTCAGACTCGTCCTCGGAGAGCACAGTCGTTGCCTCGGAGGAAGCATTGCTGAAGTGGTCGTCGTCGTCGTCTGGTGCTTCGCCGCCGTCTGACGACGCGTCCTCGGCGGCGTCGCGGGCCCTGCGAGTCCGTCGGGGCGGCTGTGGGACGTTCTCGGAACCAGTAACAGTAAGAATGCACTTTCCGCCAGAGCACGATCTCACCTGCACGTCGAGCTCTTTTGCGATGGCAGTGCCTCCGAATGCAAGTCCGAGAATGATGTCTTTGAGCGGGCCCATCACGTCGGCCAACGGCCGTGCCAAAGAGAGCGACAAGTCCACGCTGTCCGCGCCCCCCTCCATCTCCAGGATCGCCCCCCACAGCTCCCCTTTGAGCGAGAAAGCCCACGCGAACACGGTCTGCTGTGAGTCCTCGAAGATCAGCGAGTAGAAGCCGTGGCTTCTCGCCGCGACCCTCTTCTCCCATTCGTTAGGAACGGGCCTGGGCGCGCGGGGCCTGATCCTTGTCATCTCTGGCAAGCCCCTGGGGTCGGGTTGGATCCTCTGTGAAATGCCGCGTCTCTGAGCTGCGGCTGAGCGCAGGGCCTCTCGGAACAGGTCGTCGTGGGACCCGAGGTAAGCCAACCAGTCGGCGTTCGTGTAGGGCATGACGTCACCTGCAAGAAGTTGTTCTGCGTTTGCGGCCCTTTCCCTCCGGCTCGCGGCCTCCGCCTCGAGAGCGCCCTGGTTCTCGGCGATCCGCGCGCGCAACAGGTCCATGTCGCCAGCATGCGTAACCTGGCTCATCTCCTCGGGCGACACGCCCTCCTCCCAGTGCAATTTCCCGCGGCTGCGAGGAAACAAGTGGGGCCACCTCTCGCGAGCGATCGTCCAGGCGCTGACTTTCTTCGTCCTGGCGATCTTGCGCAATCTCTGGCTCCGTAGAAGCCTGGATACCCGATCGTACCGATACTGGCGCAATATACTGTTCCTGGACGCCCGTGCCACTCCGATCACCTTCCTGCGCTCTGACCGTTTATCCTGCGCGTGCTTCCGTTCGACGTCCAAAGAACACGCTTGCGCCCTCTCGAACAAATCGACGAGCTCCTGCTGGAAAGCATCCCTGGTCAAGTAGTCGACAGCAGCATCAATGCCGCCCTGCGCCCAGGCCTCTTTCCTGACGGGGACGCTGCACCCCATGTCGAGGTCACCGACGGGGCAAGTCAGGAAGTCACGGATAGCGTTGTCGCTGCCATGCGGGTTGTACTTTCTGGAAAGCGTCCACAAGCGGGTCGGGTATCTCTGATACTCTGAAAACCTGATGAGGATGTGGGAAAGCGTCAGTAGCATCGGGACGAACACGCCAGTCAGATCCAGAGCGGGGTCGTTTTCCAGAGCCGCCGCGAGGAGAGCGAAATCCTGCGATGTCTTCTCCTGCACGATGTCCTTCCCGAGCTGCACGAGGATCGGGCCCTGCCCTTCT